GACTAATGTTAGCTAACATATTGATCTGATTCACTCGGTTCACACGAAATGATTTTACTAGGGAAATTAAGAATTACAATCGGTTCAGCTTTGGGAATTATATAGTTTTTTTGTGCATACATGTTGTTTGAATTGCGTCTACATAAAAACGACATGCTATGATTGATAAAACGACGTGTTAGTAGTCATTCAATGTAACAGTTAACACGCTAGTGTGCATAACATTCACGTAGTGATAAGCCTGCTTGCTTCTAAACCGAATTTTACATATATTGTCATAATAATCATTTTCGTCTCTACCGCGATATTTTGTCTAACTCATATTTATCCCCATGGTTGAGATGTGAAATAATTACCCGTCACATTTGATAATAGTATTGGTAATGGTATTGTATTGCAGTAATATATTAAATAGTTAACACATCATAAGTAGTTACAGACTAACACGTGGTTAAATAAAGTTATTTAGTTTCAGGTGTGAAAGATCCCGGAAGGACCGGTTCTTGTCCACCAGATATTGCGCACACAACGTAATATAAACGATATAATAATATAAACGTAATATAAATGATTTGTTATAAAAACAATTCTCCGGAAAGAAAATCATATGGGAAACAATACGCAGTTTGTTGCAATTATATCAAAAATACTATAGGTGAATAGTTCAAAAGAAATAAAAGTGAGTTATAACTCAGAGTATATAAGAAGAAAATGTGGCTCTGTTTTTATAAGTAAAATACGTTGTTCTGGTTTATTTGCAAAATAAAGGCTTTCGCCCGCCAGAAATACACTTCCCATCTACCTTAAAAATCATGGGTACTCTACACAAATGAAGTCGTCTAATCAAAATAAAATCCACGGCTACCCAACAGATTCCGTGACGTTCGCACTTGAATTTATATTATATAAATAAATACCGTAGTTGTACATACCATAGTTCTTTCACCCACACTGTCAATCCGACTGAAATAAATATCTACAGTAACTTCTGTTGGCGGACCTACGTAAAAAAGAAATGGATGAATAAAATAATGAAGTTGACACTTTGCGTGCATTTTTTGTATTTCTTAGAACATAAATTGTCAGCTTCGTTTAAACTGAACAGATTACAAACACCTATACTAAACAGGTTTCTGACACAAACAATATAAAATCACACAAAATATACAAAAATAATTACATGAAATATTAAATAAATACGATTATACAAGATAATTGTTTGGCAGTAACAAAAGTATATAAAATGAGCTGTGTATTAAAAACTAAAATCCTTATTTCATTCTATCAACAAGAGACGTTTAACAAAAATGATTTATAGAAATCTTGTTTGCATCATACAGAAAGCAGTATTACCCAGCATGCAAAGCAAGACTGTCGTCAACGGTATAACTATTGTTCGATAACAATTGTTCATCTATCGTGCATTATATTTTACAGCAAATACGTGAGATTCGCAATTTTTCTTTAGTAACCTAGAGACATAGTCGATAGGATTTATTTAGGGGCGTGACAGACTTTAGAACAGTTAACAAACGCGACCACACAGAAGACGAATATTTCTGTCAGACATATAACACGTATGTATGTATAATATTATATATATATGTATAACACGTCAGACTGGGGAACAGGGTATAGAATAACCACGCGTTCTTTTACATGTAATACTCCAAACGTCAAAGTGACGATTCCAAACTTGACAGGAAGTGACATTGACAGCTATGAATCAGTATTCATCATCAAGTGATAAGTTTGGATATTTCTTGCGTAATATTTGGATTTCGCGTTATTGAAAGACAAATTCCATTTTTCGCACAACCGGTTAGTCTTGCATTGCCTTGCTGTAGTACATACCTGTCGGAAATAGAATTTATTTTCACAAGACATTCACTTTCGCAACCGTTGTGTCATCTGTCACAGTAAATTGTTTATGTAGAGTAAAAGAAATACTGGTCTATGCACACCTGACATGTCAGCTACATAACTGGACTTTAATTACAAAACGTTGCTTAATACTACATTGATAAAAAACAACACAAACAAAGTAGCAATATCCATATCAGCTTATAATCACAAAATGTTAAAACTATCTATTGCTATTTTGTTTGCTGCGGTGCTGCTGATTGGGTTGCCTTTTCAAGCACACCAACCAATTGTAGTAAAAAATATATGTATAAAACATACATATAGAGATTGTATGTTAGATTACTATGTGTCGCAGTCTGTATTGAGAATGCAGAAACTAACTACAGACATTTTATCGAATTGTCAAAGGATTGCCAGTAGCAAGTGGTTATTTGGTCGTAGAAAACCTAGACGCGATCGCCCAGACAACTGCGTTACCAACGCTCTGTGCGAGGCACAAGTGAATCGCGTGACTGGAAGTGTTAACCAGTGTTTTTTCAGCAGTCAGAGTAATACAAACATATTGACTGTCAGGTAAAATGAGCTTTCAAATAATGTGTAGGTTGTAGCAGCATACTTAATAGTTGACAGTTTTGTCGATATAATATTATAGCAATAAAACACAGCCCACGCCCTGCGGCTCGTCCATATGTGTCGTGAATTGCGCAATATCGCGCAGTATATCGTCTGCGGTGGAGGTTTATTCTTTTTTGTTCATACGTCGTGGTTACTACTAGAAGCAGTATTGATTTGAAGAGATCTTTAAAAATCAAGTGCTCAAGTTCGTTGTCTATATTTTTTTTGTAACCAGGGCAAATAATAAGTTCAAAATCATATTCTGGCATGTTTATAATGTCGTAATATATTTTATTCTAATATTATTTATTTGAAATATTCTTGTATTAAGTCACGACAAGCCGTATGCAAATAAGGTTGTTATACATGTAATGTATTGCGTACTGCAGTTTAATTTAATAAGCTATTATTTAAAAACATATAATATACGATGTACAATTGTCAGTTGCAGACTATTCAAATCACCAGTAACAGCTTGCGTTACTACCTAATCTGTATATTCACTATATCATAAACAACAATCATGTGACGATGGTAGCTCAATTCAGTTACCTCGGACTATGTTCTTTGATGCTTGGTACTCTGATATATATCAGAATACAACACCAATATTGTTTGACATGCTATACACCTATATGGTCATATTTTTTCTGGTTTGACCATTTCCCAATTCTCAGGCGTATTAGTAGCATGCTGCTATAGTATTACTGTTGTTAATTATTTTTGTATGTAGTTTTATAGATGCAATATGAATGGGTACATGTAAGATTTAATCTCAATGTTTGACAATGTATATTGTAGCACATCGAACACGATTATCGAACAATATTATACAGAAACAATATTATACAGAAAACTCGTCCTTATTGCTCCTTTAATTAATGTTTACTATTGTTTACCTATGTGTCTACATAAATACAAGTGATTAGATTATAATATTGTTCATATATCAAATTGACTTTAATCATTATTTTATATTGAATAACAGCTAAATAACATGTGACATAACTCACATTTCCAGACATGCATATCACGCGTGCTATTATGAGCAGTCCAATTGTCCCAATAACATATATTTGGTCTACTGCAAACGCGTCTTACGTCAATTGATATTTGATGGTTTGTAAACTAACAGCACTTAAACTACTGAAAAGTGAATACCAATTAAACAATAGCAATCCCAAATTTATTTGACAAATGACATTTACCTTACCGAAAAGGCACAACTTATTTTTCTTCAATTAATAATTACCCAATCTCTGTGTACTAAGATTGTATGGTACGTCTCGAAAAGTATTAATAAATTAGTATATGCAGGGTTTTTTTTTGTAGACTAAAATAAAATTTAAAAAAAACTTGTACACATCAACGTGTACTCAGAGAAGGGGTTACGTGCACTCTAGATGTAGCTGCAATATACGTGATTAGATAAAGTGTATCAATATAAAAGTGTGATTGTGGTTAAGGTATTCACTTAACACTACTGACCTATTGTTTTGGAAAATATAACATATTTCATTCTGTATGCTCTATGTATACATCCCCAACACCGGGTTTCACTGTTGTGTCCACTGTTGTGAAAAGCACGTAATTATTGACTGTACGCTTGAAATTTAAAGAATTATTACGATTCGAAATTGTACAGGACTTACACAGCCCAAATAATGTGTGATAGAGTATGTATGATATAGCGATTCGTAAAAAATCTGCGTTCCAAAATGTCACAGTCAATGGGCTCATGTGACGTATAAAATGAATGTCAATTAAAAAAAATGACCTTGGGACTTTATCCATTTCTCAGTACTTGTGCATAATCTTTCTAATAAACCCCCTGACATGAACATTGTGTACATAACAACTGATTACATATAAGTATGCCAAGACCTAGAGCAGTCCCCAGCCACGCAGAAAACGCACATCATGTATACTAGCTTATTGTAATCAAAAACAAAACTCGTTTGCAACAAAGTTTTAAATCAAAACTAATTTTAAGCCCCCCCAAAGAAATCTACTGTAAAGAATTATGATGACGTAATAATGTTATTTTAAAATGTTTCAAACCGACTGTAATTTGTGTACGTTATGCTAATTCCGAAAAGGCGTTCGCGTTCAAAAATTGTGAAACAACTAATCGTTTTGAAAGATAGTTCAGCCTTGAGAAGTAGTTCCTTTTCTCTAGTATGTTGGCAGTTGGACAAAACATGTGGATACAACGTGATATAATCGCACTACATAATATAACACTTAAGATACTGTTACTTTCCAGCACCGTCCCCCAACAGGTGTTTCCAGCGACCAAAAAATGATGCCTAATAATCGACTTTATTAAGTTTGGAGGCCATGACACGCATGTACATACACAAGCTGTCTTGACACGCCTTTCAGCAACCTAGTGGTTGATTTTGCTCATAAATTAAGTTTGTGTAAAACAGAATATATAGAGTAAATTGTATACTTTGCTGGATTTAGTGTGTATATTATATACAAAAACAAATATTTACTCAATCTTTCGCTTTTTCTAAGTGATTATATTCCAACAATATATCCAGTTAAACTTGAGATTAAAGGGCGGTTGTCGTCGCGTAGCGCATGTGGGAAATTTGTTATGATAAACATAGGTTTTCCAATGCCCTCAATTTAGTGCCCTTTTCTAATTAAAATCTCACGTTTTGACAAGTCACAAGTGCAATTTTTGATCTTGGCGCCTTACCACCGGTGACTCTTCTATACCTTTCAATCACCACAGAAATTACCTACTCAAAGCTTGGTGATGTCTCAGTTTGCACTGATTGGTCTGCGCAATAGTCAAAGGTACCATCTTTGTTAATATGAGACCCATCTCCCTCGTATGCGTGGCGCGACGACCACCGCCTTTTCATGAGACTACAGAGTGCCTCGAACTTGATCATCGATACTCTCTCATTCGCCAAAAAAAATGCTGTTTTTTCAATAAACTATAACTAACTTCTAAAGTCAAATAGTAAATAACATCATATTGAAACTCCCAAAACATCACACAAAACCAACAATTTTACGTTTTCAACGACTGGATACAAATACCACAAGCCTGGAAGTAGACAGAATATTGTCTACTGCAGATTAGCCAGCCAGCCACAGGGGTCCAACCCTTGGTATTTCTGCTGCTGGGCTGACACGTGTCAGGCATGGAGGTGACATACAGTGTAATTATTATACATTTGTAGCGATCGACATGATATTAACTTTTACACGTGAGCAGTTCATCTCATCATTCAAAGTGACACGTAATATTCTATAATTGCCATGTAATAAAAGAGTATTTTGTAGTGATTTATCTTAATTAGATCTTTGTTGTTACCTGTGCCCTTTCAGACATTAGTTATGCAGAGTAGTGATTGGCCTGAATACGGTGATGATAATTTAATTCGACGATATAGCTCTTGTTTAGAAAAATTCGATATGGAAAATCTACAGTGATTCTAGAATGTTAAAACTAAACTACGAGTTTTATTTTTAGTATTTTGTGTTTTCATGATTTACACAACACACTCGTAAACTGAAATTGAGGATTGTGTGTTGATACACCGTGTGTTGACGAGTGTAAATTCCTACTTTCTACGTGTGCACATACGACACATCGATCGCTGACTTTGTTTGAATCGTCAGTCTACAGCCCTGAGACTACAGCTCTGAAACAGTATGATTATTTGCACATCGTTTTATCTATGGACTATTGTATTATATGGTAGAATATATTGTAAGCATTGACTGGCAATTATAGTGACCAATACATATGGTGCATAACACGTGGTAGAGATTATAATATTGCGACACATTGTTCTTTTTATCATACATTGCATTCTAACCAGGACTAGAAATTGCACAAATAAATTGTTGTTTATTGACTGAGAAGTCGTATAGAAAAACATATACTGCGTTCGTGAGTCTGAGATTCTGTGTGAAATTCGCCTGAACATTCTAAAGAAGCGACTATATATAGCCACCATCATGTGACTAAATATAATCAACCAAGCATACATAGTATTCAAATATTACCTTGAAATGAGCGAATCAGTATAATCGTACGATCTATTGAGCATATGCACGCTTCAAATCCCGTAACTAATGAGCAACAATAATCATTGGTCATTTGTACTCGGAGAATAATAATAGTTAGTATACAATATTGGTAAGCTGTATGAAACAAAATGCAGGGAACAGCAAATAAGTAGCATGGCAGTGAATTGGACAAGCGCAGCATATTTACTTTTAAACCTTGTCGAAATAAAATATGTCTAATGTTTTAAGGGTGATGAATCACCAAATGGGTGATATGAACTGCACATATACAGTTGTATTCCTGTAAGAGAGATGGAATGCAATCAAACTAGTCTACACATGTAACCCAGTACATTTCAAAATGCTTAATTTATTGATATGCATTAACTTCAAACTCACTGTATGGATTTGTCAAATACAATGTGGTACATGTAAAATATTATTGTAACATTTATAAACAATATACATTGAATGGTGGTGTAATAGCTGTATGTATTTAGACGTGTTTTGTTACCAAGGAGATTGACGGAAATTGTAAATTTGATTAAAATACGAATAACGTACGTTATACACAAATGTGATTATCTTGGAATTGTAAACATTTGAACTATTTGACTATTTGTCAACTACAGTTGACTTTGGCATAGTGCACCCAAAACATGTAATTACAGAAACGCGTTCTATTGCAATTTGTGTACAACATTAAAGCATATGTAAATTTACAAATATAATTAATTCCCATACTTAAAGCCATGTATTTGGATGATCAATGTGACCTTTTAACGTGTGTAAAGTATAATATGTTCCAATTACCGTGAAAGCTACGTGCAGGTAACGTATTGACTACAGAGTATATAACGTGCAAAAGATTACATCACATTTTAAACAATCTCATATTATATATGATCACATTTTTACAATACATTGTAATTTTTAATTTATTATTATTATTATTATTATCACTGTTCTGTCTAATTACATATAAACACTGAATAGAATGCTTGTGCACACAATTTAGAAAATTTAGTTTGTAAACACGCGAGAGAGAGTGTGTGTGTGAAAGAGTTACCAGTTATAACACTACAAAATATGGATGGCCTTCATTCCCGGCATCATACAACGCATTCAAATACACAATCACCAGTAACTACTGTTTATAGGCCAAGATGGATGAAAATTTGAATAAGGTTCATTCAGTGACACGACATTGCAACTCCAGATTTAGCCTTGAGGAAATTCACATAATAAAAACAAATTGAGTTTGTAGACAGCAATACCCATATTCAATGTCTATATTACTTGTGTGAATCACGCTGTTGTTTTCATGAGATGAATGGCGAATCAGAATTATTTTTAAGTAAAATAGTAGTTTGAGACAGGGTGCGAGGTGCATTGTCTTACCCTTCAAACTATATGAATACGTGTGATATTTATTAAACAAAAAAACAATTAATAACATTTAGAGTGTTATTCAATTGAAATGACTGCAATCTATTTCTGTAATGTGAAATTGTTCATTTCCTCCTACTGTATATTTAAAGAGCCCCGATGATTGACCTCGAAATATACCACATAACCCCACTTTCAGTAATAAGCTTTTAAGCATTAAACGCGACAACACATCGGTGTTTCTCTTCCCATCAGTTATGTTTATTTCAATTGAATTGAATTGAAATATGAAACGCCGGCGTTAGTTGTGTGTTGTATTCTAATTACGCGTCATTTGGTAAATAGCACAAGAGATCATTATTACATCACATACGCAATTTATCAAGTTATACAGCTTTCTTGATATTTAGGCTTTGTCGCAGGTTTACCGAATAGTATATACCTGTTATTTTATTGTCAGTGCGTGACGATTCTACGACGTATAAACAACTTTCAAACCATGCAAAATGTAAGTCAATGACGTGTTCAACATGGAACGTTTTATATCTGTGATAAAGTTGACAGTTGGTTCACATGTTACATCGAAGTAATCAAAGCCCAGAGTGTCCCTGAATGGTTTTATTGTGACCCTAGCATACATTTATTTTGTCTGAATCTATTTGCCATGGCATATGGTTATATTTGTTTAGAGAATTAGTATTATTTTATTAAGTACCTGATTGAATGCGTTTTTTATGCTGGATGTTTGCTATGTTAATGAAGTAAATATATTAACACCTACTGTTTATATCCAATACGGCGTCAGCATTGCGGTCAGAACAAGCTTAGTAGCGAATATGTTCAAGTACAGTGTTATGAGGATGATGCTCTAGGGGAATTAAACAAACGTGTTTGCTTACATTGGATACTATATATAACCACCACTGTTGAAATATTACATACACCGACCAGATTATTGGAAAACAATGTAAAACATACATGTGTGTAAAATGCTCGCAAATCATATTGCAGCAAATGGTGAACTTACAACATACTGTGGTTGACACCAAATACAATTGTAATTGGTTGCCTTCATCTCTAACAATGCGAGTACACGGCATGGATGCGTTAACGTATGTATGGATATATCAGCTTGTAGTGGATGTAGATAGTCATTCAGCACATTACGAATATCACAGTGTGATGTGATGGCATTGTATAGGCAGTGGGACATATGCATAATTCAACTATGTAAGTGTTAATTCCAAATAACACTTACCATCAAAATGTGGCCGCATTCGTCGGTCGTATGTTTCCAGAAGCTTTTTCAAAAAGTCACTTGTTGTCGTGGCGTTGTGTTTACTATGAAGATCCTTGTCCTTATCCATCTCATTTTTTGATTCTTTCTTTCCCTCATATAATGTTCCAGTCTCTGTAACATGGTCATCTGCATCCCGTCTGTAATCCACAGAGCTATCTGATACGCCGAAAACACTGTCATAATAAAGACAACGATTAACTACACCAATAAAGAATAATTACAATTGAAACAATGAAGTAATATAATAGGCTTACCTTTGACTTTGCACACATAGCAATATTATAACAAACCAAATGCAGTTCATTTTACCGGAAAATGAACACAATACTTATTAGAAACCTGTAGTTAACCGAATCAGGTTATCACGAATCTTGCCTCTTACTAACAGTCGTATAATAATAAACACATATGTTAAACCACATAAACATATATGTCCATTCCAGCAACTTGCTATTAATGTTAATCCGATTTTAAATATTCTTGTTACGATGCTTTTGTCAAGTATTGGAGCTCACAGCGGTGAAGCTCACAGTGCGATACAATAAGCGCTGATATACAATAACCTGTGTAGGCATAGACTTGTAGCAGACGTCACTTGAATCAACAATGCAGACTAATCACATGCACAGTTCATAATGTTAAAGGGTTCAGTGCTCTTCATTGGATGTGTCTATCAATATAAGTAATCCAAAACATATGGATGGTAATGGGAAAACAAATCAATGATCAGTCTGCCACGCTCATTGCTTTACCTTAACACATCGTTTTAACTACAATAGCCCAATAATAGGACATCGGTTTGTACACTCGCATCAGTCATTACGTTATTTTTTGTTTATCTAATTGCCGAGAAGGTCATCTGTTTATTTCCACTGACATTTTCAGAATTGATTCACTTTTATTATTATTATTATTATTATTATTATTATTATTATTATTATTATTATTATTATTATTATTATTATTATTATTGATGTTGTTGTTTAATTATTACGACATTTTATTAGTTTATAGTAATTACAGTTTTTCCAAAGGTTTACATTGCAAAACGAAATAAAAATATAGCTGCAAGCAGCATTTAAATGGATTCAAGCCACAAACCAATGATGCAATGAGTAGGAGATTCCGTACATTCATATAGAAATCTTATAAAATATAGACATTTTTATATAGTGATTTTTGATAGTTTTTTTGTTGACTTTAAAAAAAAGTTATTTTGAATGTTGTTTGTCATACACAATTCTAGTCTATAGATTTTCTATAGTGTATGCTATAGGCTATAGAAAACACGATGGTAAAATTAGCTCGGTACACCTTGGTGATTTCATGCATCTATAACAGTAATGGTTGACTGTGTTCTAAGCAATTGATTTATGAGTGTTGACAACACGTGTCTTTTAAATTAATCTGAATATTAAGATATTCTTGCAGTTAAGAAGTAAATTTATAATGTGTATTGTTGCATGTCGGCCTTGCTTAAATTATAAGGTAAATTTTATATATGTCACAGCCAATTTTTGCTATATTAAACTGATTTTGAATTTCAAAGAGAACTACCTATAATTAAGCATTTTTGTTATTACAAAGACAAGTAATATTAGATATTATAATAATTCCTAAAGCAAACAGACCTACACTTACACAAGAATATCGACGTTTTTATTCAAAACAGTTGCAGCAATCCTAATTCATGAATTAATATAGAGCTAACAGAGCTGATTAAGTCACGTGATACTATATATTGCTGTCATATAAACAAATATGGCGAGTACAAACTGAGACGTTACCAAACTTCAATATGATATTTTTTGGGTGATTGGAAAGTATCGAAGGACTCATCGGTGGTAATTAGTCCAAGTCGCACCACGGTCAATGACTTATATTTGTGATTTCCATTAGAAGAGCGCATTGGATTGTGGGAAAATCAATGTGTATCAACACAAATGTCACACATGCGCAGCGCGACGACCACCGCTCTTTACGTAAAACACTTCATAAAACATTCATAACAAAGAAAATATAATAATTGGAAAAGATATTAACTGTGTTCTAGATTCAACAAAAGATTTCCGATGCAAACTTGATGTTATGCTCAGTTTTCAGCTGAAAAATATATGGAGACATTCGCCACTATTTCGAACAGTTAACATTACCCAGATTAGCAGATTCATTGCCTATATATTTATGTCAATTAAAGTATATATACAGACATCAGTCCAGCAGTTCGCATCGTGTACCATGTTAAACAATCTATAATAAATAAATACAGCTCATTGAAGAAGAAATTGAGCAAATATATCTTGTTCGTTTAAGTACAACTCAATACTTTTTAATTCCATGGGATGTGATGAACTTTATGTTCATTGAGTCATCAAATCAGTAACTATTCCGCCATTACGAAAAAATAATATAAACGTTCTCGTTCCTTTCCATATTTTAAAAATGTAACAAAAGTCACATAAAGCCAAGATTGGTATATGATAATTTTTAAATTAAATATAAATACATCATTTGCCTATTGAAAATAACCCCCTTGGAGAGATGCGTAATGTGATTCAAAGAATTACAGATGATAATCGGCTGAAAATACGCGATTGTGGTTTCAAACGCTGGTCAGTGGCCGGGTTGGTGCTTTGTCTGGCACGCCCAGACCGACGATTGGCGGGAAGGTGTGTTTATATTTTATATCGCAATCAACTCGAAAGAATTCTGTTCTCCAACAGTAATTACTCACAAAAGCTACCATTTTTGCATACAGATGCATACCCTCAAATCGCCATCTCCAATTAATGAGCAAGCCGGCTAACACCACAGTTTGTCTCCTTGAAATGCGATAAATTGAGCATGCGCTAGTCGGTTAATTTTTTCTTGAAGGCTCTCTGAGATTGGTCGATAAAACTTGTCGAAACTAGTCTTATTGCACGAGATTTTCTATTACATTAAAAAGTAAAGTAAAACCAAAAAATGTCATAAATAAACAAAAATAACAATGAAAAATATATGAATTATAAAAATAAAAGTTAAAATAATTGGAATTTTAATCAGATTGCTGAACATATATATCAGGATATATAATTGTTGTGGGTTCTATTGGAATTCTTTACTGGTGGTCTCAGTCATGTAACTTGATCACAGTCTATGTTGATCGTTTGTATTTTTATTGTCAGTCAGTAGGCTATGCGTGCGTGCTATCAAAACTTTTACCTTAACCACACTTTATATTACCATTGGTTCACCACGATGAAGTACATTGTATCTGGGTACAAAATCATCTATTTTGTTACTGATAACAAAATAAAATCGTCAATATGCTTCAATGTATATCAACAACGCATTGTCATTCCCATGGAAACTGATTTGTGTTCCTTTGAGGATTTACTTATTTATTTCATTACTTTCATGTGTCTGGAGAATTTCTTCTTCAGAAACATTGAGTTAGCACTTTTTATGATGACTTTGTAAAACCAAGCTGCTTAATCAATGTTTTTGAAAAGAACGCCTAATCTCAAAATGCAGGCGTTTCCATGAAAAAATACAATTGACCTAGGCACATGATCTCAGATTGTTTCAGCATCATTTGCCCTATGCAGAGGATCCCTCATGAATTGACTACTCAGACCGATATATGGCGGGTGCTACTAGTATGCTCACTCTTTTGCAAACATCGCATATCACTTCTTGGCCCTGACCTTGAGGTCTAAATATGTCATTCTTTTGTATATTAATTTCTGTGAATGCTCTGAGACTGATCATCTTATCTCGTGACTTATGTGTGTCTGTAAATGTACTTTGTCCCATGTCAACTATATCTTATATATGTCCATTATATTGTATTTTCGGGTTCGTGTAAATTGGGTGAATTTCGTCATTTGTCAGATGCGAATTGATATGTAAACGTATTGTTAGATATTCGGAATGGCTTCCCAGTCGTAAACCACTGTACATTAAGATAACCCTTTCCGGGTCGAGTTGTATTTGCAAGGCTAGTGATCTTGTTATATACTGATATTCTGTAGCACGCCATTAGTAATCGTTGGAGCAGGATGTAACACAATATTACCAATAATAAAAAATGTCAATATTGGGAACCAGATATTGTCAAAATGGCTACGTTGACAGAAATGTAAAATAATAATAATAATAATAATAATAATAATTATAATAATTATAATATATATATTATATTGAATAGAGTCTTACTTGTTGGTAATTAAACACTTGTACGTGCGTTATCTTTAAATAAACTATATACCAAGATTTATTTTCTAAAATATCAATGGAAAATTGTTTGATTATTATGAAGATCATGTAAGTAATGTGTAATATGTCATGCCCGTGGCCGGAGGGGGGGGGGGGTTAATGCACACTATTTTTCAAACGGCAGACTAATTTGTATCACAGCTGGGCTGGAAAATTGTTCACTTTGGCATAGAATAAAGCTAAACCCTGCGGTTTACTGTTAGGTATTTCCGAGTCCGTATTATACTGGTAAAGGCTTGTGTGGGACGCGACACGCGTTAAAAAATAACTTTCACGCCATGAAAGTGGTGGACTGCTGTGTGCCCTGTGTGTGCCCCCGGGCATCAACTATAAGGAGGCGCGTCTTTTGACCAACTAACCAATGGGAATCGTGTTCTTCGCAAAGTGACATTGCGACCCTTTCGCAGAGCGCAATATTTGACATTCGGCGACTCGCACAATCGCGTCGCAGGGTTAGTTTTTAGACCCCCTTACACACATGGCGTCCCCAGCACGCGACACTCTGCCAGCCAAACAAGTGATGCCTGGCTGTTGCTATGGTAAACGGCGCGCAGAAGCTCACTTGGCGACACCTACCAAGCGCCGACACAGTCATCTAAGGTCATATAAAATCTGTCGCTGTACTTGATGTGGTTTCACATGTTTTTAAGAGGGAAAATATTTCAAACCCCTGCAAACACTGCAAACACTGGCGGATCCAGAAATTCGGTAAGGGGGCGCGCTTCTATTAACGTGGCCGAAGACCATGCGCACACCGTACCCGGTGGGCTGGGTTTGTCAACTGCTTTTTTTTGCGAACTGAAAGGGAGTGGCTCCCCCTAAATCCGCGCGTGATAAAGCATCCAGTTTTTGTGACGGTGCTCGGATACAAGCCAGTAAAACATTCGGAAAAGGAAGTAATCACGGCACGCACAGAAACTTGTTCCTGGTCAATATGC